ATGTTAATGGAGCGAATAAATATTTACGTAGCGTCACATTACCGTTACGTGCAAAATTAATGCGATATCGATTCGTTGTATCGGCGAGAGAAGCGCGCACGAGAGAGATGTGGAATTATCGCGCGATGAGCGACGGAATTTCACGTCAGAATGTTCGAAACGTCGAGCGCAGACAGATTATGCACAGCGATTTCTTACGTAATTCAATTTTCACGGGAAGGACGTCGCGAAAGTCCCGGCGCACAAATTTTTATCGCGATTCGCTCTCTCTCTCTTCCTCTCTCTCTCTCTCTCTCTCTCTCTCTCTCTCTCTCTCTCTCTCTCTCTCTCTCTCTCTCTCTCACGCGCGATAGTTCGACATCAGCGCATATAATCGTATCAGCGCATAATCGTATCAGCGCGAACGCCGAAGTAACGTATAATTTGCGAGGGGGAAAAAATTAGATCGTTACTTCGCGCAAAAAAAGAAGGAGAACGAGAAAAAAGAAAAACCTAAGTTCAAGAACATAATCTCACGGCGCCGGGAAGTGCACTTGATACTCGCTTCTTCGTTTCGCGCACAACGGACCCGACACACGTGAAAGTTTTACTATCGCGAAAGTATTCGCGAATGATAAGCAAATTTCCATTTGCAGATAGCACGCGAATCCACCGCGAAACAGGTGTTCTGGGACTCGTGTTTCGACCGACAGCAAAACGCTTCGTTGAGCGACTTTTGTCTCTCATGAGTCGTCACTCTAATTATGAGATACATAATAATGCGGAAATAATTGGGCGTTAACGAACGTACGTGACGCGTCGCGGAGAGGTCGTCCGCGAAAAAATCATCAGTGGGAAGATAGCCGAATAGCTTTGGCATTCGTCGTCTTTCCACCGTGAGGTTTATTTTTGTACACGAAATACGCATGGGTAGCCGTGCTTCTTGCAACATTATACGGCGTTCGTTACGAGCCCTTGATGTCACAGGTGCGCCATCTAGCTCGAAACTGTTTCAACCATGCGATAACTATCATTATCTGATTGCTCGGTGAATAACGAGCCTGTTCTGCGGCGTTAGATAGCTCATTCAGCGATATCAATTGTGTAAACGACTCGTTCCAAGCGTGGCTACTGGTAATAGCTCTCGCGAGGAAAATATTTATCGCCAAACAGTACACGGAACTACCTGAAAACGCGATAACGAGGTTCTCGCGACGCAGATAATAGTATTCGAAGATAAGTACACAGACAATGATTATTAAAAGAGTTTGGCTTATGGGTCATATCTGCTTATGGTAATATATCTGCAAATTAACTTACATAATCACTGGATTCCTTCATTTCATTTCAGATTTATGGGAACAAGCTTGAATAGATACATCTTGGAAGAGAGCGATTCCTTAATCTTTTAAGAGATACAGAAACTTGTTTAATTAAAGCTAATAGAGGCCCTTCTCGTGTCAATTAAGCAAATGTCCATGTTATTTATGTGGATTCAATGTTCTAGACCATATAACACTAGATAAGAGTATGGAGGGAGATATACATCAAAGGATCACCAAGCGATAACAGCAAAAAGAACAATATAGCAAACTTGATAGGTTTAAGCATAAATAAGACATTACGTGTAAATTTATGATATACTGTCATCATGTAACTGTGACAAATTGTGCCCTTTTTAAAGAATGTTATTTATAATATAAATAAACTTTGTGCTATTAGTGTTGGTTATATAAATACTCCTTTGTGATCAATAAGCACAGCCATAAAACACTAACCGCTTGGCTGCTAATTACATAAACAGTACAATGTGCTGTAGTTCACAGGGACCAGTGAACATTGTAGTCATGTGAAGAACAAAATGTGCCATTGCTATCCACTTCAGCAAGCAATACGTGGTGTCACACACACCAGCCTTGGCGGTAGAAACAACATAGACTTTTCGATCAACACGAGCCTGCTCTAGAAAAATGCCAAAATTTTGGATAAATTAAAGGAGAAATTGTTACAAAATACATTACACGCACATATGGATAAGTGTATCCATAAGTACGCATACCAGACAAGGTGGACGTATCAAGGGCTCGTGGAAAACCGGCTAAAAATTCACAAAGCACGCAAGATGTCGGTATGTCGGCCATGCGGCCGACCTGTCACCAAAAAACTCATTGGGGACGCTCCCTGAAAGAAGTGCAAAAGGTAGCGACGTGTGCATAACGTGACACGATGCAAACGTGAACGTCACGCACGCCTACATTTGATCATTCGCGATGACAGAAGTCGTGATGTGTACGGTAACATAGGAAGAGAGAGAGAGAGAGAGAGAAAGAGAGGAACGAGGGGATACTGTAAGAGGCGGAACAGAGAGAGAGGATGAATATAACCTTACCTCATCACCGGTCTCGACGTCTTTGCTGCCGTTCTTCGCCTTGTCCTTGCTGCCCTTCGTCGTCTCCTGGAACATAGTGAGCGTGGTGAATGCCGCAGGCAGGCTGCAACGAGGCTGCGACGAGTGGGACGACTCGTTGCAACGGATGGCGTTTGCTGACTCGCGCTCTCGCACTCTCGCACACTCGCGACGTGTGAAAATGCACGGAGCCAAGACAAGACGTGTGTGAGTGAGTGAGTGAGTGAGTGAGAGAGAAAGAAGGTAGCGTCGTCGTCGGGAATAGAAAGCACGAGAGAGACGCGAGGGAAGAAACGCACGACGGAGAGAAGTGTTTTATACCATTGCACTTGTTCCGGGCGCGCGGCCGAGTGAGCAACGGCGCGCGTCGTCGTCGTAGTCGTCGTCGCGTCGCGTCGACGATGTGCGCGTCCGCAATGAAAGCGACGAGAACGGGGCCGAACACACGATCGCGCACCGCACGCACGATTAATTCCGCTCGGATGCGACGGACGGAGTGTAGAGAGCGAAGGCGAACGCGACGACGGTGGTGGCGGTCTCTTTCGCGTGCACGGAATCGGGATCGGGTCAAGAAACCGAGGTTCACGCTCTACACCCTCGGGTAGTTCACGAGAAGATCCGCCTGCTGGGGTTGTTCCCCGATTCCTCTCAGTAGAGTGCAAGTGCGACGCTCCTCTCGCACTCTCCCTTTCTCAACTTCTCTCTCTTTTTCTCCTCGCGTTTTCTATCCCTCCCCGAATTCGCCGTCTTGCTCGCGCACAATGGAGACACCGCTATTTCTCTCTCTCTTCGTCTGAGTCTTCCTCTCTGTCTCACATACACAACCACCACCACCGGGAAGACGTCGGGCGAACGTTCCGCGCGCGCAGGTAAATCATCGACGGCGACGAGGGGTAACGGCGACGGCGACGATGGACTACCGTGATGCACGTACCTTGTCCTTCTTTGGTCGATTTGGCATTTTATCGGCGGTATCGGGAACACACGGTCGAACCGAACTATACACGTTTCACGAGCGACTGATTTCGGCCAGTGCGCGTATCAGCGCATCTGACGGACGGCGGGCCAACGAATGGACGCGAGGCGCGCGTCCGCGACGGCTATTGGCCAGTTCCGGATTACGCCACGACGGATGCTTTGACGTTTGCGAACGTCGATCCTGCCGGCTGCGCAATTTTGCAATTTTTCTGCGCTTCGTCCGAAAAGCTATATAGAATACGATTTTAGAAATGAGAACAACAAGCGCAGAAGAACGCGTCTATAATTTTACATTATACATACATGCAATATTACATACATTCATATTGATGAGGTTAATTAATGCATGTGATACTGAAGTCCGATTGGACAATTTTTCTCTCAAGACAAAATGTTCGCACCTAAACGGAAAAACTTTTCCCTAGAATTCACGGAGGATCTAGCTAGCGATATGATTGGTTACGCGGTTACGCGTTACGCGAAAATACGTGCCATGGGACTTCACCCTAAGAGTGCGTTCTTTTATTCGCAACAGATACAACCCGATGCATCCGATGCATAATTTAATCGTTCTGTATATCCAGTTGCGCACATCAAGCTGCAGACTGCGTACATCTTGACCGTTCTTTAATTTAAGTTGCAAGCAGAATCATGCAACTGCTTGCAATTTTTAGCATCCTAATCCAAGCGGCTGCCGAAAAATTGTAGCCTAAGTTTCGAATGTGCAGGAACCTTAAGTACGAATACGGTTCTTTGGTGTGCAGAAAGTAGTGCGTTTCTCAGCAGCACACAATATTTATGATAAATATTTATTTCAAATTATTTCTTAAAAATATTATATAAATATAATATAAATATTTTATATACATGAAGGATATACATGAAGTGATATATATCACAACCAATCACGACTCGATTTTGTTTATAATTACGGATACGGATATGTTTACGGACCATTGGACTCGCACCTAAGGCTGCGTTCAGATTCCACACCCGCGTGTATTCTATTACTAGAAATGCTATAGCATATGTAACATATACTATAAGAATACTATAAGTTCCCTTTAAGGAACGTCTACATTGGAAGTAAGTAGTAAGAAGTAGGAAGCAAGAGTAACAAATTGACCAACCACAGTCGAATGTGAGATGAATAATCAACTATGATTGGTCAATTTCTTATTCTTACTTCCTACTTTTTACTGTTTACTTTCAATGTAGACGTTCCTTTAAGTGTCGGTCTACAACTTCGCTTTAAGTTTTAAACCTTAATGCAGAATTCACACCGCGTCCGATGTCCGACGTACGACGTTCGATATCCAATAAAAAAATAGCTTCCAATGGAGAATTGAATTCTATATTAGAAAGCTGTTTTTCTATTGGATATCGGACGTCGTACGTCGGATATCGGATGCGATGTGAATCCTGCATTATAGAATATATCTCTAAAGGCTGGTTTATGTGGCCGTAATCTGTTAACTTATGTCGGAACCGTAAAAAATTGACTAATCATAGTTGAATTATGGAAGAATAATCGACTGCGATTGGTCAATTATTTAAGGTTTCTGCATAAATTAACGGATTACGGCCATCATAAACCGGCCTTAAGACTCAAGGCCAACTAGCCGTTGGTAGAACTTCCCTAGTATCGCGGTAAATCCATTCAATAACTTTTTTATTCTAAACTAGTTAAAAAATTTGGAAGTATAAAAACTTCAGGAACATCTTTGTGTAGTTTTCATTCAGTATGCGCGGCAAAATTTAAAAATATCAAACTTCATGCGTGACTACATTGAACATCGAGTCTTGCATCTTGTCGCCTATTTGATCAATTTTCTAATTGCTGAGATATGTATATAAATTATTTACAGCGAATTGTTAATGCAAGTTAATTTATCATTAAAGCAAGAACTTTCGTAATCATTTGATAAAACTTGACATTACTCGCACAAACTCTCTATGGTAAATTATATATCTTGAATATAATCTTAAATATATCTAAAATAATTCGCTATATAATGAGTAAAACAAAACATCTAGGCTAAAGCGACGACGTGCAGAGAGGCTATTCAAAGATGGGAGGAAAGAACGGGACTCGTGGCGAGTGAACAAAAAGAGATAATTTTATCATTTCAATGGCCTCCAATCGAGAAAATGGACAGCAGCTTGGCGACATTGACTAACGTCGAGTTCGTTATTCTATTAAGAATAATAATAAATTAATAATTAATTATAAAAACTTTATATGGGTGTCTATTAAAAATTAATAAGCAGTTTCATGAAAACACCCGCAGAAAACTGTCCTTGTCGACGAATATGATCGAGAAGATAAGCGGTATCAACACACTAAAGTATTTAAAGATCTTGTCGCTCAGCCGAAACAACATTAAAACGTTCTCAGGATTGGAGGCAATCGGAGACCACTTGGAAGAATTGTGGATATCTTACAACTTAATTGAGAAGATCAAAGGCGTCATTGCACTCAAAGCACTCAAAGTTCTGTACATGGGCAACAATCTAGTAAAAGACTGGGCGGAATTTAATCGTTTGCAGGAGATACCTAATCTCCAAGAGCTGTTATTCATCAACAATCCTATATGCGAAAATATGGACGTGGAATCCTGGCGTATGCAAGTTATAAGACGGTTACCCAGCCTGAAGAAACTCGACGCGATACCGATCGTGCACACCACGTACAATACATACATCAGATATTTCATCGAATCACACTTCTAAAATTCTTACATAAAGAGTGGTCACACAGAAGTGTATAAAGTTTTATGACCTATATACTGAATCGCTAAAAGCATCTCTAAAAATAGCTTCTGATTACCTTCTATAAGCCACTTTGCTTTTAACGATAAAAGAGAATTCATAATATGAGTCTATTTATTTTAGGGACGCAGGCGAGTGAAAGGTAGCGCACCCCCGAGCGTGACACAGATTCCGTGAAAATAATATAAAATTTGTATTTTTACATGATAAAGTTTTCAACAATAAAACCTATTTTACATCAACGACGACAGTCTAATATGTTGAAAACGTTTTGTCGTCTATAACCATCACCGTCTCTTTGTACTTTAACAATAGTACTTCTAACATTCGTCTCTTTCAGTAGAATAATTATCCCTAATAATTATCGACTTTCATGTCGTTGAGCCCAAGTTCTTCGTTCTGTTCGAAGCTTCTGTCGTATTTGGTGATCTTCAATCTATCGTCAGGTCCGTTATCGGAAAGGCTTTGCACGTAACTGTTGCCAGCCGGATCGTTCAAAATCAAGGTGATCTTTTTCTGGCCGTTTAGAACTTCTTCTAATTGCATGATAAACATCTCTATCCTCTTCACGGTTTCCGAATCGCTGGTGTCTCCAGTGAAAGCCGTGGATGTGGACAGCTGTTCCTTCATCGCTGCTATGATACCTTCGACGGTCGTGAAACGACCGCCCAAAGTCGCCGGGCCGACTTCCAGCTCGAGCTCGGGTATCTCCATGTCGCAAGTCTCAGACTTGAGCAAATCGCGGCCGAAGTCCTCCTTACCCGTGACTGTTACTTCGATTCTAACTCCTTGATCTTCGATCCCGCTGCCGCTTTTGACTTCGTTAGTTCTGTGACCACAATGCTCGCAAAGTGTGGCCATTATGACGGCCTCCTTGAAATGTGGTATGTCTAAATGTTCTATTAAGGAAAAATCTCAAATGAGAACAAGCATAACAATCTAGAATAGAATTCCTGTTGATATTCCTGCACAATTTCTAGTAGATTAGGAGTAAAATAAACAAAATTACTTAGATAGAGACCTAATAATGATATTTAATCAAATAATAATTTAAATCTATTGATAATTAAATTTGATTTTATACTTAAAGGATACTTGTCAGTTTCATGTTTGTTTCACAAGGACTGTTACAATCTGGGCAATTGGTGGGGAAAGTCATTACTTCGCCTTCAAATTGCTCTAGAGAATATTCTCCTTCCTGTATTGGCTTGAGCAAAGCATCCTCATTGTCAGAGAAAAATCCTAACATATGATTCTGCTCTTTTGTTCTCTTGAAATATGTTATGGTACATCCATTATCCTTGAGTGGTGCTTTTGGATTTTCCACATGACTATTTCCTGAGATATCTTGGAAGATGATGGTGAAAGGCTCGTCTAATATTTTTAGTGTATGTAATTTGCTAATAAATAGATCTATCGCGACTGCAGTATCCGGAAATTCTTCCCGGCGCCTCGGTTGATCCTGTTCTAATGCAGCAATGCTCCTATTTATTATGCCCTCCACTGTTGTAACTTCACCTTTTTGGGAACGTGCAGGAATTTCGAAATCCACATGGGGAATATAAATACTGGTGTAGTCAGACTTAACCACTTGACGATTTAAATCTTGTTGTGATGAGACACGCAGTGTTATTTTGATCCCCTTCTCCCCTATCTTGCCAGCATTTTGTATTTCGTTATTCTGATAACCACAGTGTTCACAATCGAAGGACATAAGCACCACATCCTTGTAATGTGGAATTTTGGTGAGCAACAGCTTGGTGATTCCCTGCAAACAAATAGACACAATTAGACTTCCAAGCAGATACAATTTTTACTTGAAATTTTTCTCATGTATGAATATTCTCATTTTTATTCAGAGTTAAATCCAAGTTTTTCAGTTAAATTATAAGTATCACAGAGAAGGGTTTCAAGTAATAACTATTAATGCAGGCATTAGAAATATTCATTAGAAAACTGTTTATTCATCATACATTATGTTCACTTACATTTTTGCCGCAATCCGTGCATAGGCTCTCGATCTCTGTAATTTCCGGCTCTAACTCGTTGGCAGATAACTCGCAGAAGATCGGTTTAGTAATATTATTTTCTACCTGTTTCCTTTCATGTGCCATTTCTCACTTTGAGGTTTTGTTGCGATACTTGCGATAATAGCGACAATTTTCTGCTGTGGCCGAGAAGCGCAACTGAGCTACGATTGATCGATATATTATCGATAGATCGAGGCTCAACTGAGTACGGTTCGATTCTCGGCTAAATAACCGTTACTTTAGTATCGAAGTCTGGAGGCCGATTGTGTATTTCGAAACGAAGTGAAAATTATAAAAGTGAGCAAATTCACTAGGCACATTGTGGTGGGGCAGAATTCCTAGAGCTGCGTTCGGAAACGTCACTCGAGTACTCTTCCTCTCTTTTTATCTCACTCTTGTATCTCGCTCATTCCAACGTAACGGGTATACTTGGGTGACGTTTTTGAACGCAGCCTAGGGAAGCCTGGAGCCAAAATTGAGAAGAAGAAGAAGAAATATCGAAGCCTCCACTTTGAATGCAGACTCGTTAGCGGCTCGAAATTATAACGATCGTGTTCTCCTTACGGATGGCATCGCGGACTGTATTCAAGACATAGGCTGCGTTCCGAAATTCACTGCTAGTGCTGAAATTCTATAGTATACGTGACATGAACTATAGATTTTCAGTTACTGGCAGTGAATTTCGGAACGCAGCCATTATCGTGCACGAAACTATTTTAATATCGTCTCTACGATTTTGCTTCTCTATTCTCATTGATAACTAACGTTGGTAATCGCAGATACCACCGAGGTTAACAAGCACTGAGTAGTATTGTCGAAGAAACCCCAAGGAATCCGAAGGTAATTGAAGAAGATTTATATTATCGATTATTTGTAGCTATTTGTTATAAGTATCTGGACATTTGATGCGTAACAAAGTAGTAATTTTGTAATTTACAACTATTTTCCCAAGTAACACGTGTCGTTTAAGAAACGTTTTTGATATGTTTTACAAACGATAATAAAACGTACGTTTATACCCACACAGCAGGAACGTCCCAAATATATCATAAGGATATCTTGAAGATATCGCATATCCCAAATATATCTTTAGGATATCCCTGTGATATATTTTGGACTCCTCTGCTGTGTGGGTAAAACCAACATGTGCTACCAGGGTTGATGTTTCATCGTGATGCATTCGAATATACAATAAAATATATTCAAAGGTTTGTTTTTCGTTCCTGTGCTGGGATTCTGTAACTCGTTATTGGAGTTAACGACAGTTTCGTTATCGTTGCGCAGCTTTTCTACGGTATACAAAAGCTGCGCAACGATTACGAAACTATCGTTAACTCCAATAACGAGTTACAGAATAGGGTTACTGTAGCCCTATTCTGTAATTCGTTATTGGAGTTAACGACAATTTCGTTATCGTTGCGCAGCTTTTGTATACCGTAGAAAAGCTGCGCAATGATAACGAAACTGTCGTTAACTCCAATAACGAGTTACAGAATCCCAGCACTGGGCCCTTATTTTTGAAATAGTTGCGTATACGTAAATTTTACTGCGCAGGTTTAATCATATCATAAAATAGCTGCGCAATGAAAATTACGTATACGCAAAAATTTCAAGAATAGGGTCTCTGTAGTTACTATCCGCATCCGCTTTTACATATTTTTACCGACAGATTTACCGACAGGAGGTTATTAAATTTTGAAGCGCGCAAAATCCCATAAAACCAACGGTCTTTACCTCGTCGGTGTCATAGGCGAATCTCGCAAGCGGAACGTGCGAGCGCGCCAATACGCGTCGGCGCATTCAGCGCGAAGGTTGTGATCTGTGTCATTGGCGTTGAGAGGACCAGGAATATCTCTGAGCTTCCCACGATCGCGATTTGTACGTATGATAATTTCAAGCTGATCGACACGCCTAATATCTCCGTGCCGTGGATGTCGTGGCCGTCGTCGTACGGAACCGAGTCTTGATGCGCAGCAAGCCGCTGGTCGAGATGGAGAACAGGTTCGTACAAGAATCGCAGGACAAAAAGGGCGTCGCGCTCTGCGACGGGGTTATGTTCGGTATAAACAACGCAAATCGTGCGCACAGGTTGTCGGACACCTCGGTGCCGTTGTATCATAACCTATCGAGGAAGTCTAAGAGGCGATCCAGCCGCCGCAGCAACGCGATGGACGCGTGGAGCTGCGGCCAACAGAACAGCCAGGATGGCGGCCTGGTATCGGGTGGCGTGGAGTACCATCAGCCGCGGATGCTGTGGCCGTCGAGCGTGCCGCAGAACGTGCAGGGCAGTGGCCAACGCTTGTTCGCCGCGATGTCCGACCCGAGTGTGTGTGGCTACTCGGCGATGCCGGTGACATATACTATGCAGCCGGTTTCACTGCCACCCGTGTACAGTCTGTACCAGCCTGTACCCTTGCCGAACGTCAGAACTGTCCATCACAATACACCTAGGCCTATCCACAATGAACGTTCTGCAAACGTTTACTCCAAGGCCAGCAGTGGTGCTGCCAATGGCTGTGGCAACGTGTTGGAGAATGGTTTAGAGTCTACTGTACATATTGCTCATCAGAATGGAGATTACGCTAGTCTACCACCTAATGCTGACAGTGGTGTCAACGGTGATGAACTTAATTCAGAACACAGAAGATATTCTGATCCTGGACTTGGACCTGCTAAGGTTTCCTCTCATCTAGACAGCGATGACTCTGCTGAGAGTGAAAGTTCGGTGATAACAATTGGACGCACCAATAAACTCGCATTGTCCCTTATGGAACAGGTTGGTATCTTTAGAATAATGTATGAATATTATGTATATGTACGACATATATGTGTAACACAATGTATGTGTGCATCAATAAGTCCTTATATTTTTTATATTTCTTGGACTGGAATGTCACTGGAATGTCAAATGAAAAGTAACGGTAGTGAAAGTACTTTTATTTGAAGCCATAATAAAGGTGCTGCCACTTGAAATTGCAAGAATGAATATTAACTTAAGCTTAGAATGAATTTTAACTCGATATAAGCAAATATTTCAGTCAATTAGAGTGAATATATTCCTAAGATTGTGAAACATATTAGATCCATTCTCCAATTTTCAGTTGAAATTTTCATTCGATGATTTAGACTTTATTTTATATGAGAAAAAATTACTCAAATTGGAGTGATTCAATGGTCATTATATTTTTCGAGTGAAATTTCACTCTAGAAAATTTAGAGAATGATATTTTAACTGTCAATTGCCTGTAAAGCCTGCTTCATTCATTGTTTACAATTGTCGACATGTCAATTTTATATACTATGATACTGTTTTTATGTACAGATAACAGATTTGAAGAAGTATAATAGCCAATTGTTCAAAGAACTCAGTGTAACCAAATCATATTTTGAGAGTATGAAAGCTGAATTGGTACAATATAAACACGGTGCCTCTTCAGACTATCAACCTGGAATGTTATCAGGTAGATAACCATAAACATAACAATCTTTATCAATAATCTGAAGTATTCTTACACAGAATAAATACTATATTATATGCGTGAAAATATTTGTTTTAGAATTTATACGGGAAATTAGAGAAGCCAATAAAAAATATGAGGAAGGTCTTATCGCGAAGGTGACGTCCATGTTAGAGGAAAGGTACAGTCAGCAGGCTATAGAAATAGAAGAGTTGAAGGTATGTGCTAGATAGAAAAGTCGTTATTTCGTGTAATTTTAAGTAACTTTTTATAAATTTTTCTTAAACGACGTATCTTCGCGCCATATTTGTATAACTCAGCGAAAGTAATACAAAATACCAAAGTAATTTGATGCATTTGAAAATAGTTTATTATTCTTATTTCGAATTCAAGCTATATATCAAGCTTGTTATATCAAGTTGTCCATTAAGCAACCGCATCAAGAAACCAAATTTTCTTTTTAATGAACATATTTAAATGGCCCATAAATTCTATATGGCCACAAAATTTTGTTGTGATATACGAGCTTATATCTCGCTATCGTACGCGTTATCGTTTTCTTTGCTAATCAAGAAGCTTTGATAATCGAGAACATTAGAAAATCAGATCTAAAAAAAGAATAATCGTAGTTCAAACAGAAGACGCTGATGTAATTCAACAGTTTGTGAATAATGTGGGAAAGGAAAACACAAAAGCAACGACCAACGAATAACCCATTTTTTTTACTCTCTTGTGCTCTCGCTTCGTCGTTTTGCGATTGAGCCACGGTAATATGAGCACTCGGTTTAATATTTTCGGCACTCGCTCTTCCGGGTCACGATCATGGACGTAATGTTTGCGCAGACGTTCCTACATTCTGTTTGATTAGGACAGCCAGGTGATCCTGGCAACCATCGGTTCTTTCCTACTTCCCCTCTCCCGATTGTCGCTCATACGCGAAACCTGTACAATCAATTTCTGTTCGCGTACTTACACTCATCTCGTTCACATCCCGTTAATGGTTCCCGCTTAGGCTAATCTGCAGACTGCTTTTCGTGCACTCCAAAAAAATGGTTTTGCACTCATATATAGCAAACGTTATTTAGACGTTATTTAGAAGAATCCTAGATGGACAAATGAATAGCAAAACCTGCGATATGGCTTATATATTTTGTATTTAATCAATATATAGACACAAAATTTATATATTTGAACTATTTGTGAAATTTAGCAAAAAGATCTCTCTGTGGCGCCCATTTAGATTAGGGCCAGTCACACTTCTTGTAAAAATAACTGTCGTAGATAAAAAAGACTAGCGACAAAAAACAAACGAAAGTATAATACTCATATCCATCTAAATTTGCTTATAGATATAGCAAGAAATGCTTCTGTTATAAATTCTGTTATAAATTTTACGTACCACAAACAATTTTCTAATAAATACAAAAAAGTTTTAATTTTAATTGTAATATCTAGAATTTTACTTGAATATGTGCAAAACATGAATGAGTACTTCGTACCATTTTTTTCTGTCTTACAATCGTATCTTTCTAGCAGTATTTGTCCTTGAATCAGATATAGTGTAGACACGGCGCAGCAAGGTGATCATGTATCGTTATTGATTAGTTCGCGAAAAAAGGGAAGAAAAATCAATTTCCCGTGCATGTACTATTTTTATGCAGTTATCGGTAATCGTGATACGCGTTGGAGTAGAGTTTACATTACCAGCACGGGCACGCGAATGTGTCGTTATATTACGTAAAGCCGCATATGCGTATCGACGCGACAATAATAACTCAGTGAAGAGGAAGAAGTGTCGCATTAACTGACACAAAATTACGCTTCTCTCCGTCGTAACTGTATCATGCAAGTTCGCGATCACCCTCTGTTTTCACGTTACTCCAATAAGCATACCGCGATAAAGATAAAATCAAACGTGGAAACACAATACGCATATGTATACATTTTTCTCGCTTTAAACGCTCGAGGTGTGAAAAGACGCGAAAAGGTGCGGTCGATGAAGAATGCGGATCCATAAAACGAACGGAATCTTGAAAATCGTTTTCGGAAAGTCGGGTCGACGGGTCTGTTCTCGGGAAGCACGCCAACTGTTTACGATTCGTATGTGCGACATCTTGCTAAAGAAAAAAGGAAGGGAATGGGGAGACAGAAAAGAAAGATTGGATTGTGTGAAGGGACAACGCTTTCCCACATGTTATTTTTTTTTTATCGGAAATATTGGGCCGAAAGTTTATCTCGGGAGAAATTTATCAGTCGATAAGGGTTTGCCGCGCTTGCGAAGTGGGGGAAGAAAATAGAGTCGAATCGGCAGGGAAAACTACGACCGCCGCGACTGATAAAGTCGACCGATACCGGAGAACGTAATGTAGACATAATACGAAATATCCGTGACGCGCTAAAAGTGATTAGGTTTCACATGGGGGCATCCGTTAGGCAGAGTGTTGCAGAGGCAAAATGGGGCGGGGACCGAAGGGACAGGGAAAGTGGGATCGAGAAGGGCGGGAGAGAGGGAGAGAGAGACAGAGAAAGAGAGAGAGAGGGACTAGACGAGCGCAAGGGTGGAGGACGGCGCACTTAGCGGCTGTCAGGGGCCTCTCCCTTGGCCTCTTTTTCCTCTTTGCCGTGTCTTCTCGGGTTTCAACCATCCATTAGCCTCATCAGCCGAAGCGATGGCCGCTGCCGCCACCGCCATGTCGCCTGCATATTGGCAATCTCGTAATTGAACCTCGGGGACCCGTCCATCCCTCTCACCCCCATCCATGTAAATTCTGCTGCACGTGAGAGCCGATCAAGGTTGCTGGATTCCTCGCTTCTTCTTTCTTCTTCTTCTTTTTTAGTGCACGTCACCGAGCGTGTCGCGTTTGTCTTTTAAATATCGAGTCACAGGACAAGGTAGTTAAAAGGTGGGCTCGAGATGATTCAATTGTTACGATCAGGCAGTTGTAGATGTTGGAATAATTCCTTCTTTGTCGAGCTATTCAGCGTTTAATCATTTTTCGTAAGTTTACGCGTAGGATTTGCAACTTCGTTGGTTGTTCTGTCTGGTAGTGTCCCTCGATCGTTAAGTTTCGTCTGGTTAGGTGTTTCACAGGCAATACCAAGTTGCGTTCTATTTTTTTCATCGTAGAATCAATTGTCGAAAGTAACCAACCAATACGAGGAGAGCAAAAAACATATCGCCACATTGGAGGAGGAATTGACGACACTGAAGCTGAGCGTAACGTAAGTAACTTATTTGCATATACAGCCTAGAAGACTTTGCTTCAAACCTGATTTGCATCCATTCTATTCCACTCCATTCTATTCTACCTCTGACGAGTGTTTCGACGATGTATGTCTCGACTTAGGAGACTTGGGAGCGTCTTCGCGGAAAAGATCGCCAGAATACTCGGCTTCAATTCTGTAATTGCCTGTAACTGATCATCATTGCTCATGATCACGACTTGGCTTTGATCATACGTCAATTCTGCTGCAATCGCCTACAATTTATATCATAGCTATTCGTAATATTCGCCCTATTCTTTGCTCATAATTTTCACGCACAGACGCAGCATGACGTTTCTCATACACTTGTGACGGATTTTGGGAACAATCTTGTTCTTATCGATGAAGCGTGTACGGTATGTTTCGAGATAGCGACATTCAAAGATTCGTTATTCCGTTCCTGTGATCATTCAAAACTATTAAGGAGTTTATTCAGAACCAGAATGCTGAAAATTATACAAAACTTTAACGTAACATTTTGTCGCAGCAAAATACATTTGTAGTTAAAATTTCATTAAATTTTATACTAAATATTGCAATTTTGCATATATAATCGTATGATAGAAGCGACATAAATGGTCATTATTCCAGTGTAACTTCGTAAAAAGTGATACTATCGAAATAAAAAAAATTTACTAAGAAAGAATAGTATGCATTGCACGGTTTTCGTGTCAATTGTAAGGGTCAATTGTTGTTAACGGTCAATTGTAGTCCAGAAAACTACTATTTTTGACCTTTGAATAACATTGTACTGAGCGAAACGTGACAAGATAGTATCCTGAAATTAGTTTCAACTTAACATTTATTATTTAGATAGTGAAATAAATATATAAGAACATAATTTTTTTCGATAAATTGTGAGTTCATGAATAGCTCTCTCGAGACGCCACTGAACATATACGCCTCTTGAGAGATCTGGAAAAATATATACTTAGTGAACAAACTCCTTAAATCGATTGACACGATCTATGTTCGAGAGTCGTTGATTTGATCAATTCGTACGAATAATCTCCCTTTATCGTAAAGTAGAAGACGTCGAGATACATTCCAATCTTCGCCATGTCGCACGCAAACCTTCGTCTCACCATCCATGATGATTTGTCTTTGCCGTCTCATCTGTCCATCCATCCATCGCCTTGTTCCACAACGAACGCGACCTTCGAGAGGTTCGCGATCCTCTCCAATGTTTGATTGAAGGTTCCCAAAGTTTCGGGACGCTTGAATAGCTTCGCTGCGTTCACCGCATAAAATTCGTCATTCTATTCGCACTAGCAACGGAGGTCGCGAGATCGCAGCCTTCGAGGAGGAGACCCTGGCGCTGCGACGGGAGCTCCAGGAGGCGCGCGCGTCCAGGACCCTGGCCGAGAACCACGCGGCAAAGTGCGTAAACTTGGCGGTATCCAGATCTGTCACGCCTGTAACTTACGAAACGCCCGATATAACCAGCACCCCCGTGCGTACCGCTCTTACCGACACCCGCTGCCTATCCCCCGTGCCCGACATCATAATCGCAGACACTTCCTCCGTATCCATCCCCGTGTCCGTTGCCACTTCCGTTTTTCGTCCCTGTTCCGCGGAGGTGGCGGTTCCTCTCGTCATCGAGACGCAAGCTCGCATCAGAACGGATTCCGGAGTCGTCGTGTCCAGTGATAGCTCGCCAGAGCCGCAGTTGAAGGTGGACGAGATCGATCTGCCCGTAGAGGCGACTTCGACGTCCTGCCAACGTCGCGACTTCGATGTCGCGGCTTACGCGAACGAGATTGCGAACGAGATTGCAAACGAGATCATGTATCGTACGAGCAAGGATTATAAACGGGCAGACCCCGTCAGAAACATATTTTACTCGGCTAAATTAGCGGAGTTGCTTTACTACGGTTTGCTCGACACGAAGGAAATCTATGAGCTGTATTGCGAAAAATACCCATTGGTCGGCGAAGAAAAGAAAACTAATGAACCGTCGACTGCGAACGAGGTCGAAATAGCTATCGCGTTATTGGACAGTTTCGAGAAGAAGAACAGCTCGTCAAAGGATGCATCGGACAATACGGCGGACAAGGCCGTGCAAGTCTCGATGGAGGATGCGAATCCGCTGGAAAGCTTCCCCGCGACGCTATTCAGTCTCAAGAAGAAACGAAAGAAGGGCCACTCCAAGTCGTCCAACGAGACCAACAAGATCCGCCAACGGGCCGGCGTGTCGAGCAACGAGATCACAGCCTCGTGCTCGAATGCAAGGTACAGATGCGATGCGATAAACAGGGACGAGAATTGCTTCGACGACGATTGCACAAGCCGAGCCATCGCCGAGGTGCCGGATGTCGCTGTGGTTGGCGGCGGCTCGTTCATACCGAAAGACCTCTGCTCGACGAGAATCCTGACCTCCAGAGTCCTGACAGCACCTTCACGCGCCACCTACACCACCGCCTATATCTAGGTTACGCGCGGGGTCCCGAGCCAAAAAGCAATAATAATAATAAAGCGGAAATTGCTAGAACAGAGCGAAAGGTCGAAACGAGAGAAAAGAACAAGCGATATATTACCACTCATCGCCAATATCCGCTAAAAAGGGGGGAGGGGCTTCAAAGGGCTTAACTAGAGGCTACTACTACTCTGTGTACATGTCGAATAGCACGTAGGTCTCTCATTATTCACCCGTCATGCATGCTTTTTTCAAGTCTACATCCTATAGTAATATCTGTCGTAAACGACCGTAATACTCGTCATAACGAAGTTATCGCGAATGTTATCGTCAAATCATCGTTGAAGCGAACTTTAACTCTTATAATCTTCCATATTTAGCTGGTCTTGGGAATTATTTAAACGTTTTTAACGATGTTTTTGACGATGTTTTTGACGATTTTTGTGTTTCATGAGGATACGATGTCTCTGTTCTTGCAACTGTGATATTACTTTGGATGTAGAGATGTATCTTGACGTGTGTGCCCGTCGTACTCTTTACGCCCCATGCTTCGAGCTGCGTTCAGGCTTCACATTCGCGGCAAATACATTGTCTCCCGGTGTCATTGCTGAGGATCATACACAAATCGACACACACACGGCGAACGATGTGAGTCGTCCCATTCGTTTCGAGAAACAGAGAGAGAGAGAGAGAGAGAGAGAGATTTCGTTCTCGATTTATATCGCAAATGACATGGATTTTACTTCATAATGCTCCTCTGCGACTCGATAACGATATTTAATTCGGGGTATATGTGTGTGTCAAACGATTATGTACGTGAACATAGATACTGTGAAAACTTGATTCATTCGTGCTGTGTCTCGTACTTTCCATGTTTTATCGAGAGAGAAAAGATCTTGATTATTACTTGGAGGTTATGACTGTCACCTCTAGCGAGAGTGAATTTAACTTTAGTTATTTTGCATTCTATCTTTTTCTTTGACTGTAAATGTATCCTTTCCTGAATGAAGGAATAATAGGACACTGATCGATGACGGTTAATGCTTAAAGAAGCTTTTATAGATCGATGTAGCAATCGCTCTAATTGGCTAAACGTGCAAACGCCCTTAAATGCATTGTTATTATTGATTACGCACATATTTGTACGAAGTTTAATATTCACTTTAATTTAATACTCAGATGCTGATTTAAATGTCTTAATCTTATATACGGGGACATTGATACATAAACGAACAAATAAGTAAGTTTACATTTAATATATACATATATTTGTTGATATTTATATATTAAATGTTACACAATGGAAGGTCAATATGTACATGTATAAAATACTTTCTCTGATTTTAGTTCATACAATAAGTGTCTGTCAGCATGGCTTTGGCAGCTTAGCATGTTTCGTCTTTATACATTTCATATATGTGTATATATCGTATATATACATGTATCTTACACACATCATTGCGTGTGCGTATGTAAATATACACATCCTTCGTTATTCATGTTATATTTACGTGTCTCCTTGTTGTAAACGCCATATCATCGCTATATCATTTTCGCGCGAAACTTGATGTAACTTGTGATACAATCTCACATCGATGTCACGTTTTGCATCTGATACTTGTGTTACAATCTCACATCGATGTCACGTTTTGCATCTGCACATATCATTGTTAATATTTCCAAGTCATTTTTATCTCGTAGGCTGCTTCAACGTTTTTGCCAAAAATAATTTTTCACTAGAAATAAGAGAGAGCCCCTAATATACGAAATTTGCAATGTGCACTCGTACTTTTACAAGTAGAAAAAAGTATAAACTTAAAATAAATCGATTTGTAATGAATGTCACACAATCGACGAAGGTTTGATCCGAGAGTAAATAAGCTCCGTCGCTCTTCATCTCGGCCTCTCAGTCCACAACGCGTTTGAACAAACGTGGCGGCGACTGAACTCCGATTGAACCTTCGCCGAGTCGAATTTCTTTCTTCGACACACAACCGAATTGCATCGCGAGTGCACCGTCATTCCGCTTGCATGATCCTCTTTCCCGCTCCTCGAGGAAGCAGCGGTCTTCCTCATCTCAGGCAGGCCTCCTCCCAAGCACATCCGTGTCGCTTCATTTGGACGGCAGGCACCAAAACGCATCGTTCTTGTGTTTTCTAGCCGGCGGCTTGGCTTTACGCTGAAATTTTTGCTTTGCCCGCTTCTAATGACATTATTTCTTTGGCCGCGTTACCGGTGAAAGAGGCACATATCCAGAGGCACCGATGACCGCATATAACGTGACGCAAAACATAATTTGTCAGACTGGAGAAGCTGGTGGAGATACTGCGTAAAAAGGTGAACGGTGCCACGGCTGTGAACAAGATTCGCGACGTCCCGGCCTCCGGTGCGTGCATCGTGTCAGCTTCGGACCCGTTCAAGGAATCGGCGAATCACGTGCCACCGTCATCATCGTCATCGTCATTGTCATTGGGGGACGAGAAGGGTCACGCGAAGAACGATTATGACGAGGACGACGACAACGACGATGAAGAGGAAGAGGAGGACGACGACGTCGACAGCGACGCAGAGAATTCGGACGCATCCGGAAGTGGCAAGGAGCCGTCGCTCGCGCACGACCCCAAAATCCCATCCAGCATCGATAGCAGTGTGATGGGGCCGGTTACCGATCTCTGAGCAAGTGTCGGGAGCGCGATTGTTGCCTTATGTCGATTTGCACGTCGACTTTTCGTAAGTTTACCCCGCGTGTTGTTCAAGTGCCAGAGTGATGGTGTGTCGTCAGGAATATAAGTCGTCGGTTAGCCGTCGGTTAGACTTTCCAAGGCATTGGTCGTGCTCCTCGCCTGCGACCGTTCGATCTCCCCCGCTCACGAACGGTCGATCCAATTGGAAGGTAAAGTGAGCCATCTCTCTCGATGGACTATCGATCCTTCTTCTAGTGTTAGGACTCTCGTTCGTTCATTCGTTCGTATTCTTCACACGTTTATTTATTATTAAGCGTTATATGCATATATTGTTAAATATGCCGTTGATATTTCTGTACAATTGACTGAAACGTCGGACTGAGACGCACGGTGAGCTTTTGCGTCGTAGTGATTCGTGATTGCGACGCGAGTCTCCCAACGACAGACCCACGGAATGGACGTTTTCCGAGACGCGTGGTCTGGAAGATGGACGATTTGTTGTTTCTTGCGAGCTATCTCTCCAAGGCGGTCATCGTCCGTGCGCGTGCGCGTGCTCCGCCTCGGTTTTACCTGTTACATGACAAATGTTAATATTTTTCATCTATACGACGCTGTTTTTGTTACACACACCCTGCCTTTCTTTCCTTCTCGCCTTGTGTCGTTACGTTTGTTCTCTTTGTTCGTTAGTCGCATCCTCTTTAGACACTCCCGTGTATTTATTAAAAATTGTAATTATTTCCATTTTGTATCTCTATCAATGCACAACAGGAATTAGTCGCGCAATTATACGACCCATCGACAGTGTACATAATTTCAGGCGATTTCGTAAAAGGTACTTATACTTATTCGTTAAGTTTGACTTCTTTCAATAGTATCCCCAATATTCTAAGAAATATACGATCGAATATGAATCATATTACGCCGCAAGTGGACTAACGTGTGCGCCATGCGCGACTGGCACAATTGTTACCTCATTCGTGTGCGAATTTGCCAAAAGGAGTTTTGCATCTTAGAGAATCATTAGACGTTGACGCGACGCGCTATGCGGAAATTGACGAATCAGAGCCGAGACTGCCGTTTATTAAGAGCGCGCCACGAAGCTTTTATCGCTCCTCTTGCTCGGGGGAGCTTTACTCTACATCGTTTTTCTCCCCTTCTTATCGACTTCGCACGGACCATCGCGGCTGCACAGTTCATACATGTGCAGAGACTTGTTTTGTCCACCTATGTAGCGTTTACACGTAGACATTTTTACGGTTACATTCTGCAATCGTTACGGCAGATATCGCTAGCAATATGTCCCTCGACTGGCAATAAATGTAGGCGTAGGTCTTAACGAGTGATAACACGCTCTGATTGCATATCGTAGGACAGATATCGTGTCATATTTTGTATAACTTTTTCCTAGGGCAGTCTAGAGTGTGCGTGTGTATGCGTGTGTGAATTTCGCGTCGATGCTTTGAACGACGTTGTCGTTCGTCGGGACTTTACAGTCGTAATAGGGGATACGAGACGCGTTTTAGGCGGTAAGTCGCTGTCGCGACTCCGTAATGGGCGATCGTTATCCGTTTTACCTCGGTGATAAATTGGCGGTGAGATTAATTTACGCTAAACTCACTCCGAACTCGCGGTCATCGCAAGTTACTGCTCCGATAAAGCAAACCCGGGCGGATTCGTTCAGTAAATATCACACGGTATCGCGGACTGAACACATGTGCCTCCACGTAAGACGCGTATGCGATGTCCATTTTTTTTTCGCGTATAATCGCCGTTGATAGACGTTTCGTTTTGATGTTTCTGCGTTTCCCGACAAGAACACCCCCCGAGGGGTACTCGAATCTCGCGAAATCGGATTTCCGATCTTCAAAACCGAGGAATTGGAGGAGTAAACATATATTTTCTTATGTATTTTATATATTTCAATGTTTTCTCGCACATCTCTCTCAACATCTGAAATCTATTCCGGAGTAGTGTGATACTATTACGTCTCTAATGAGGAAAAGTTCACCGTGTTGTGTCTTGTGGCCTTTATTATAGTGCGAATTTTATTTTATTAGAAAAATTAGAGCTCTCCTGGTCTCATTGTTGTGTGACTTTGTATTGATGATGTCAGAAACGAAAAGGCGCCAAAAATTGTTGCGTGCCATTTTTAAATAAAAAGATACTTTTATGAAAGAATATTTTAGATCGCTTGAGCGCATACGTGTAAAGTGTTGCGAAAGTTATCCTTTTCCCTTGATCAATTAATTAGATCAATTAATAAGTAACTTTAAAATTAACACAACATGCAATCTTTTTCTTTAACTTTGCCAAGGGAAAAGGATAACTATCAGAACATTTTATTAAAAGTGATGTCTAATCACGAGACAATAAATTTGTGTCTAACTACTAGCCAATAATCTATTGTTCGCTTCTCCTAGTGGCTAGATAAGTAAGTTAGCTGATGATTAAACAAAATTACAGTTATGAGATGAAAACGCATAAGTAGTTACTAGCCAGTTACTAATCCAACGCTTGATTTTGCTTTTTTGAGATCTTTATGGAATTAAGTAGCCTCAATTTTGATTAGCTACCTAATTTTGTGAAATCGCTAGTGGCGATACAATAGCTAGGTTATGTATTTTAGAACAGACAGCGCCTCTATTCTATCATATTTGGTATGTGGTAATGGTTAAACAATGGTTATATCGCAAATCCGATTCTATATTTTAGTGAATAATCAGCAAAAACGAGTTGGCAACGAACTAGAAAATTTTATCTAGCCTCTAGTTAGCTACTAATTTTTGACTCAAATTCGCTAATCATACTTTTACTTTGGTATGCTCAAGTGATCTGAAGTGCAGATCTTTCATACAGATATTTTTTTATTGGAAAATGACAGAATAATTTTTGGCATGCGTTTTCTCGCCTCTGACGTCATCAATCCAAGGTTACAGTAGTGAGAGCAGAGATCTTACAACAAAACCACAAAGTCTCAGAGTTTTTGTTTTCGGACCGTATCATGGCAACGCGCTCGAGAAAAAAATAATTCACAGAGATGCACTGAATATTGAGAATTCGTCATTTAGCGAAATCAACTTCCCGTCGGCTTCTTCCAATTCTATCTTTCACAGGATAAATTTGTTATTGGCAATCTTCGATGAAGTCTCGGGCGAATTTTGATCTTTCTACGCATCCGTGTAATGCGAAAGTGGGCAAAAAAGGCGGTTCTCGCAAATCTCTCATATAACTTATTGCTAATCGGTACGTTGAAATCTATAGAATGTATTCGCAATACTATATTGTAACGCGTATACGTAACACTATCTCCTCTAGCGAACTTGAAGAAGTGCCATTAGAATCGAGCGTAACACAAGTTGCCGTTCTATTTTCGATGATATTGCGAAACGCTGTAGAACAGAGTGGAATGTATTGAGGTAAACCGAATAAAGTTACGTATTTATGAAGAGGCTCGAACTACACTGCTTCATTCGAACAGTTCACACACCCTGGACGTATCACTCGACCCGTCCCGTCCCGTCAGTTCTTGCCGTTCCTCCTTTCTCGCTCGATCCGCATTTAATCACCCTGTCGCAAATTGACGCGGGATCGTTCGATTCGTTCCGATTAGATTGTGGTTGGAAATAAACGATTTCCGAGGTGAACTTCCTCGCGCGTCTCCTTCCGAGAATTGTTTTCCTACGGAAATTGTCAATCCTTCCCCAAGTGAATAATGATCTCCTTGGATGATCCGCACGCACGCGCGCGCGTGCGCACATACACACATACACATACACACTATCCGTCTCACATTTTTCCGACAGCTCCGCCAAAAGTGCTTTCCTACTCGTGTTCCTCGCTTATGTACTGGATATCTCCCGAGTGTGTTGTGATTAGAGGGACCTGGAAGATGTTATTCTTGCGTATGGGTGTTTATCTTTGCGCGCCGCACGCAGCCTCCCACGAAGATCGAACTGAAACAATAAGAGATTCGATGTATCGATGACGTAGGTTGGTTACTCAGATCCGGCTTTGAGAATCTGGGCGAAGACGAAATACAAAATAGAGTATATCGACATAAAGTATATCTCGAAACAGATGCAATCTCTTTCTCTTTTTCTTTCTTGATACAGTCGACAAAATGGAATCCGACGCGGCGAATGGCGAAACAGTGCGAAACAATTGTGCAATTAAAATAAAAGTGTATATAATCAACAGCGGGAATGTTGCAATATTTTTCTTCTTTTTCAATATTTTCGTCTTTTTAAATGAATTTCGCTACGTATTCGTACATGGAGAAAGCATTGTAGTAAAAATCACCACAAAATTGTAATATTGGACCATGCAGAGTTATGTATGCAAAGAATTCATTATATAATTGTTTAATAATGTTACATACATTGGACTCTATTGCAAAATTATATTTGAATGTTTTTTTATATTGCATATCAAGTAAAATTTATTATATATACATATATATATATATATATTTCTGTAATATTTATATTACCACGATTTTCAATATGATCCAGCTTTATAGAAAAAAAACATTGTGGAAGGCCATATAATTCTAATATAATTGTTACTGCAATATTCTTTCCGTGTATGCAACAGTGAAAATTATTTTTCGCCGACTTAAAAAATAAATTTTCTTCCACCGAGTACAATTTTCGATGTGTAGGATGGATTAGGTACATACGACTCTTCAATTTTTTTTATTATATTCTAAGGTTTATTTCCCTTTATTGTTCTCGCTGCGTGTTTGTAATTATGAAGTAGGATTTTGCGTTTTTCTTTGAGATAAACCGGGTTCCTCAGAGTTTTGGGGCAAGACTTGAACGGAAAAGAGCCGCGCCTTCGTAAATCAATTATTATTTTATAACTACTTTTTTTCACCATAAAATTTCTTTCATCTGACCGACAGGTGCTTTTTGTGGCGTTTTTCCGCGACTGAATGGAAGGTATTAGCAAATACCTGACGCTGTGGGTTCTTGCCCAGTTTTACTGCGTGGCTTTCATCATTCTTCACCGTCGAAGTGACCTTTCCTTTCCCTTTATCTTGATTAGGACCGGATTTTTCTCGAATTACAGTAACTTATGGTATTTCACCGATTATAGAGTGGAGTATATTTAGTAGATAATAGTTGGACGATATATGTTGTTAAATTTTACGATAGCACATTCTATTTCTTTAACGTTGTTTTAAAATACGATTAGAACTATTTGTTCTTCTTTCTCTCTTTCTTTCTGCCGTGTAAAATGATGTAAAATAATTACGTTGCATAATATCAATTATTCGTAAATAATTGACTTTCTGATACGATATTATAACGTTATCGGTGTTTTATGAAATTAATTAATCTATCATTTATACACGCACACACATGTGTTTTCCGTTCGAAATGCTTGCTCGTTCTTTACAAAAATTCATCTGATTAATAAATGTCATTACGATATATTATGTTTATTATGTTAACGAATTATTAATTGCGATATCTATATACTCCCGCGATCATTATTGATTTCCGCTGCCACTAATTAGTCGGGGACACTAATTGGGTGGCTTTTGCAGAAAGCAATTCCTCCCGTACAGGAGTATGTTTAAATCATCGGCGCTGTTTTAGTTGCGCGTTCTCTGGAAAAGATCCACCCTTTCTCAGCAAAATAATCGGACATTTGAACGTTCGAGGATTGAACGTTTCGTCGAAATCCCACCAGAAAAGGAAACTTTACCGGGTGGTGTTATAATCCTTCTCACGAATTCCCGAGAAGAGCTTCTGTCCTTTGTGCCTTAAGAGCAGCCACCAGCGCCTTGGCAATTTCGCTAATGACAATCGGCCTCGGGTTCCATCGCGCGAGCAGCGCAATACTGTACAACACATTCGCACGCGGGTAATTTGAGGACACTCGGTGTAACAATCGTCCAATTAGCTGACGCGCGCGCGGCTCGGACTCGTTCTTACCGGAGTATCTCCACGAGGCGCGTAATTGCGAGCGATGATAACGCGCGTTGTCGTTACTACAACTCGTAATTTCTCGTTCCGCCTACTTCCGGTGCGACGGGTGCCTACGCCCGCTAACGCGACGATCGCTCGGAGGGTCGGCAGAAAGGGAGAAAAAGAGAAAGAGAGAGAGAGAGCACATCGAGAGCGATCGATATTTCGCGAGGCAACGTTCGCTTGTTCGCTCTTTCGTGGGAGCGCGGGTCTTTGGATAATTGAAAGCCACCGGAAAAATCGTGCGAGTCATCGCGGTACGAAGGTGGATCGTGAGAGATGAGGAGGGAAGGCGAGGAGGAGGACAGGCGATAGTCGGAGGGAGGGGGGGTGGAATTATTAAAATTGACTCGACGGAAGTGGCGGCTGGCCGGCCGGCCGGCGGGGGTTGGCGGCCGCTGGTCGAGAAATCGCTGCCAATTCGAGGCGTTTGATCGGCGGACTCATCCACCACCTGCCTGTCTTCCAGCGCTTTCATCGATCGGCTTCGACGTAATGCTTCGTGCGACACGGCTCGTTAAAAATGACCGAGGCCCGTGCCCGCGTCCCACACTTGGCGCAGAATGCGACTGCCCGTCCGATTCCCTGGTTCGTGTGACAATGTTCCGCGTGCGAGAGCATTGCTCAATCTGGGCTCAACATGGACTCGAATTTGACACTGAAGCTGGATATACATCGAGCGAACAACGAACGCTTTATAATTGACAAAACCTTGCGTCGAGAGAAAAATAATGATCGACTCAAATAAAATTATAGTTAATTAATTATAGTTTTTTACGCCAGGCATAATTTTTAGTTATTTTCTAACGTCAGAATCTAATGATAATATAGTGACATCACTATATCATATTATAGTAGAGATCATATTATAGTAGAGTTTAATAAAAAGAATGGTCTGCTTGACCCCATAATTTATAGTAATTATTTCTCTATGTGATTGATAGTTACATTCTTTTCTCAGTATTTAATGTGTGTTAGCGAATCCAAATACAACACCTTATTCTCATTCAGGCCGATTCGCTCATGACGCGGTTTATCGAAGAAAGTTTGTATGCAAGATAGACGCAAATATATTATATATTCGTTATTTATTCGTTTAGTGTATATCCAAAAGAATTCGGAAATCCGTAAATTCCCGAAACAATGCCATAGGTATCATGAATTTGATAATATTGATATTTTTTGTTTTGGCAAAAGAATGCTTCTAAAGGTGAAAACACTCCTTCAAAGAGAATGACTTTTCATATTGTCGCTAATAGCTGTGAAAACATAAGAAACGTTGGAAAGAATAAATACGAAGTTTAATAGCGTTTTACATCTTATAACACTGTGATGTCGAATTTAAGAACGGAAATATGTTCTCCCACTGTTTTTAATTTATAAATTACTTTTGTGGTCACTGTGTTATATAATATAAAATGTACACGCAAAAAATAACTTAATAATATCAACTAAATCGCGGTAGCTAATCAAAATTAGTCAAAAGACTAATCGTTTAGCTGTCACTGCTAAGAACTAGCTATGACAGCTAAAATACATTCACTATGAAATACAAATATATTAAGTGACATTAAAAATGCACATTATTTCAAGTAGCTAAGAAAGTGGCAGTTATTCCTAAATTTTTTATCGTATGCATATATTAAAGAAGTTTGCCGCACAGCTATAATCATTTGCTACAGTCATTTGTTTCTAGCAGCTAATATTTCTCGCTGTAGTGCCTAAGTTTAAACAGCGAATAAATTTAGCTTGTCATAGGTCATTCCAATAGTTCTGTTATAGAGATATTACAGAAAATATATGAAAAACTATATTATCTTTGAAAGAATGTATCAATGACCGTGAAAGCCTCAAATCTAGTATCTTGAAAGAATGTGTTTATTTAAGAATTATTTTTTACAACCAAAGGAAAAAACTACGTTGTTAGATTGTGTGAGAATATTCAGGTATGTTCACCGATTTTCCTATGTAAATATGAGATAAGAGTACAATAAATTTATGAAATCTATGAAATCGTTATCACGATGTTCTTCCGGAGAATCTTTTTTTTTTCTTTGAAGCGTTTTAAGATAAGCGCGTATACGTAATACGTTCACACAACAATGCGATTTTTTGTTTTACTTACTTTTTACTCCACTTTTTACTCCAATTTAAGAACACACATATGCGCACTATCCCTTAATTTATAAATTATTTCTTATCACTGTATTATACAATATAAATTGAATTCTTTCTTTAAAATTCTTTTCAATATCTCTTATGAGATATTGAATATTTGAATTTAGACTATATTTTAGAGATATATAAGATTGTTTTAAGGGATATTAAGGAAGATATGAAAAACTATGTTATTTTCAAAAAAGGATGTTTTCATTTTTAGAATCGTTTTACAAGATAACCATTATCTTATTTACTGCAATAAAAAAAGAATCGTGTCTCTGTCTGAAACTCAGAATGTCAAAAGTAAAACTTTAAAAAATCAAAGTGAAATAGTAACACGAAATGCCATATAAATCATAGTTGATAGTACAGTTTTCCCAATTTTCCTTTGTATATGATTTATGGTACACGTTAAGTCTGTTTGATCGTAGAATAGATGGATGTAGTATGAATACGTTGGGAAGTTTGTTCAGATAATCTTTAGTAGTTTCGAAAAAAAGTCCACGATCTTAATTCAAAAACTACTTGTCGTGATATTTTACAACAAATATTTTACAGACACTGCATAAGTTATCATCTTCAAAAATTATAGAGCAGTAAACAGCGCTTCGATAAATTTTCGCCCACGGATATACGTGCATCATTGTATCACGTCAAATACTACATCGATAAACGAAAATGTATATACATACATAAATAGAAAAGCGTTCAACGATTATGCGCTATTAATAAGTTAGGCGCGCCGAACAAATAGAGCAAAACTTCTCGGATTGGCCTGATGGCCTGCTTGCAACTTTTATATCTCGCAACGTTTGCAT